GACATGTCCAGAAAGGGTTTTTGTTGTATAATACATTAAAAATTAGTTTTTCTAAAGAGTAAATAGCTCTTATGAGCCTTAAAATGGACAAGTAGTTATTGTTGCACTGTGTGAAAAGTCATGAAATAAAAAAAATGAAGCCTGATTTTTAATTTGTTCATATATTTTTTGTGGGACCAGCTGGGGCAGCACGGTGGCTCAGTTGGTAGAGCTGCCATCTCTCACTGAGAAGTTGATGGATCAAATTCTGGTTGAGGGACCTTTCGGTTCAGTTATGTTTATTCATATAACACCACGTCACAACAAAGTTGTCTCAGGGCACTTCACAGAAACATTTGCATATGAAAAAAGCCAATTAGTAAAGTTCTCTATCTAAGGACTACACCCTTTCCAGGTGGAGTTTGCGTGTTCTCTCCGTGCTGCGTGGGTTTTCTCCGGATACTTCAGTTTCCTCCCACAGACCAAAAACATGCATATTAGGCTGATTGGTACCCTAGGTGTCCCTGTGATGGACTGGAGACCTGTCCAGGGTGTCCCCTGCCTTTTGCACTTTGACTGCTGGACATGTTAAAGAAATGTTAAAGAAATCAGGTTTCTCTTGTAAATGAGTCCCCAAGGCTCAATGGGATTAACCTGTAGAAATAAAGGTTGAATAAATATGGACACCAGTGACCCCCGTGACCCAAAAAGGAAGAAGTGGGTAAAAGATAATGGACGGACAGACAGGACCAGCTAATGATAGTTCAGTCTCTCACTTCTCACTGGCTTTAATCATCTGAATCATCAAAACTCTGAACCAATTTATGGCAGAGAAATTGACAAAAGGACAGAGATTGTGAACCAGGAAAGAAAAAAATGATCTGTGTCTGATCTTCAGCTGTTTTAGGTCAACATATCTCCTAAACAGGAGGAAGGAGGAAACGGGAAGTGAAAGCAGGAGATCACGACACTCCTCAGTCATGTTGAACCAATCTGATAAAACCTTACTGTTGTCTCTGTCAGCAGGGAGTTATTCAAATATTTCTTCAGCGATACAAAAACAAACTATTTTCAGTCAATATGTTGTTTAACAGTGAATAAGAGGCAAAATAAAACTTTAAATAATTAATTTTTAACAGTTTCAGTGGGATTTCAGGTCTCTCTTGTAAATGAGTCCTGGACGCTCAATGGGATTTACCTGTCTAAATAAAGGTTGAATGAATGAATGAAAAATGTTTTTTGTGTTTGGTTCTTTGATCAGGTCACATTATTGGACTTGAGTTGAAGTAAAAATCACAAGACTTGAAACTCAACTCGGAATTGAAAACAACATACTTCACTTAGACTTAAGTCTTAAAAATACCTGAAATCTTACATAAAGATAAAGTATATTGTTGTTTTTTAATTAGTGTCATTATTAAATATACTGAATGTATTTTTTTCAGCTAGAACTGATGACCAGACTGGAGATTTTGTCAAACACTTTGAAGATCTCAATCTTTGAGGAGGCAATCCAATAATCTGGCAGAATGGTGGGCCCATTACCTTGGCAGAAG